AGCAGCTGCTTGTGACGATAGCGAAGGCGTTAGTAACGAGGATGTGGGGCGCGGGGGGGTTACCCCGAAATAAGCTTGGTCCATGAGAGAGTAGACTACCTGGAAAGAGGGTAGGTAAGGGGATGCAAGGTTAGGAAGGGATATTTCCACAACACAGCACCACCACCCTCACTTCTCTCCACCACCGGTGAATGAATCAAGCTCTACTGCTCTCTACTTTACGCGCACATTTCCGACCGAGAGGTCTCAAAACATCTCTTTTATCACGAGGATTGCGAGGGGCAGAGTGGGCGTGCCTCTGATTTCGAGACGTCTCAAAACATTTCTTTTATCACGAGGATTGCGAGGGGCAGAGTGGGCGTGCCTCTGATTTCGAGACGTCTCAAAACATCTCTTTTATCACGAGGATTGTGAGGGGCAGAGTGGGCGTGCCTCTGTTTTTGTTTTTTGTTTTTTTCTTTCGTACACAACCAGCAGATTTATAAACCGTTACACCATGAAGCCTTGAGCACGAAATGCAAACTCACTCTAGCAGGTTGGAGGGCACTTCCACAAAGTCCAATGCTGCTCTCGTTCCCGATAGATGCTGGAACGCCTGTGGGGGTAGAGGGAGCCGGCGGGGATGACGAGGGGGGGGGGGAGGAGGAGGAGTGGGAGTGGGAGTGGAAGGGGAGGGGAAGGGGGAGTTTGTGACGGGTAAGCGGTAGCAGATGAGGGAGATGTGGACGGCTTTTGCACGATGAAGGAATGGGAGAGGGGAGATGAGGGGACGCAGAGGGGGAGGATGTGGCAACCCCACGTACGGTGCGGGAGAGCAGTGAGTGCAGCGCGTGGCTGAACTCGTGAAAGAGAGTCTCCACGTCGTGGAGAGTTTCCACGTCGTGGAGAGTTTCCACGTCGTGGAGAGTTTCCACGTCGTGGAGAGTTTCCACGTCGTGGTGTGCCAGCAGCAGGTAGGGCGAGGAGACGACTTTTGAGGCGCCTCAAAACTCTCATGGAATAGCGCCTCCACCTCGTGGTGCGCTAGTAGCAGGCATGGCTGATCCCTAATGTGCCCCCTCAATCAACCTCAACAAAGAACTAGCACGTGGCAAACTGCACACAGCACGCATGACACATGGCACATGGCACATGACACATGGCACATGGCACATGACACATGGCACATGTCACATAACAGCGTGACGTACGGTGCGAGAGAGCAGCGAGTGCAGCGCGTGACCGAATTCGTGAAATAGAGTTTCCACGTCGTGGTGTGCCAGCAGGCAGGGCGAGGAGCGGGAGGATGCTGCGAAGTTGCATACGAGTGCCACGACCTGGGAGTGGGAGGTGGTGGGGAGTGGTGGGGAGTGGTGGTAGGAAGAGTGAGTCTCCACGTCATGACATGGGGAGGGCTAGCCGGCACGGCTATATTGAAATCACTTTTGAGTCGACTCAAAAGTGCTAGCAGGCACGGCGAGGAGCGGGGGGACGCCGCAAAGTTGCACACCAGCGCTACGACCTGGTGAGGAGAGGTGGTGTGTGTGTGTGAAAGGGGGGGGGGGGGGGGGGAGTGGGGTTTGAGTTTGAGGGTGGTGGTGGTGGTGGTGTGGGGTGGTGCTGGGAGGGAGGAAAGTGCAAAGAGCATGAGATGCTGCGGCCTGCAAATATTGCATCAGGAGACAACTCGGCACAACACAGCACAGCCCAACTTACCGGCAGTTGGTAGCCGTCACTGCTGCTGCTGCTGTTGCTGTGGGAGCCCGTCGAGGAATGGGGGAATGGTAGCAGGTGGCCTTTGCTGTCCAGAGGCAGGTGCTTCCTGCGCCCGCAGCGGAGGGACAGCAAAGCCAAGCCCAACTCACCGGCAACTGGTAGTCGTCACTGCTGGTGCTGCTCCTGCTGTGGGAACTCGCTGCGGAGGCGGAGGAGGAGGAGGAAGGGAATGGGAGAAGGTGGCCTTTGCTGTCCAGAGGCAGGTGCTTCCTGCGCCCGCAGCGGATGGTGAAATGCGCTGCATGGGAGAACTTGCCCCTCCGCGGGTGCAGGTCCAGGTAGATAAAACCGAGGGGGCCCTGGTGAGGAGGGGGGGAGGGGGAAGGGGAAAATAAGGGTTGTCGGGCGGGGAATGTGGGATGGTGAAGTGCGCCGCGTGGGAAAAAATGCCCCTCTGCGGGTGCAGGTCCAGATGGATGCAGATGGATGCAGATGGATGCAGATGGATGCAGATGCATGCAGATGGATGCAGATGGATGCAGTCGAGAGGACCCTGGTGGCAAGGAGGGGAGAGGAACAAGGGGAGGAGGGTGGGTGGTAAGGGGAAGACTTCAGAGTGTGCCCCACGTGGTACCGTCCACCACATGGCACAAAACACCCCCAACCCCTCCTCACCTGGTCGACGTGTGTGAGGGAGAACTTGGTCACGTCAGGCGCCCACACCTCCCCAGGCGCCGTGGGCAACGTTTGAGACGTATCAAGCCTCAAAAGCCGTCCCCATCCCCACCAACCCCCACCCCACCCTCACCTGGTCGACGTGTGTGAGGGAGAACTTAGTGACATCAGGCGCCCAGGCCTGTCCAGGCGCCGTGGGCACCGGCTCTAGGTGGACGTTGAAGAGAGACTTGACCAGCACTGCCATGCCGCGCACACACGCGTGCAGCGGGAAGTAGGACGAGATCACCTGGTGGTGGGTGTTGGGGGGATAAAGAGGGGCGTGGGCGTGTGAGGGAAAGGAGGGAAGGGGCGAGCACGTGGCTGGGTTTGATGCGAAGCACACAAGGCAGCAGCCTGCAGGTGGACGTTGAAGAGAGACTTGACCAGCACTGCCATGCCGCGCACACACGCGTGCAGCGGGAAGTAGGACGAGATCACCTGGTGGTGGGTGTTGGGGGGATAAAGAGGGGCGTGGGCGTGTGAGGGAAAGGAGGGAAGGGGCGAGCACGTGGCTGGGTTTGATGCGAAGCACACAAGGCAGCAGCCTGCAGGTGGACGTTGAAGAGGGATTTGACCAGCACTGCCATGCCGCGCACACACGCGTGCAACGGGAAGTAGGACGAGATCACCTGGTGGTGGGAGTTGGGGACGGAAATGGGCGTGGCAATAGCCGTGTGTGGGGAGTGACGGGGGTTGGAGCAGGGGCAGGGTTGGGTGTGCGAGGAAGACAAGGCAACAAGTGGACGTTGAAGAGAGACTTGACCAGCACTGCCATGCCGCGCACACACGCGTGCAACGGGAAGTAGGACGAGATCACCTGGTGGTGGGTGTTGGGGGGATAAAGAGGGGCGTGGGCGTGTGAGGGAAAGGAGGGAAGGGGCGAGCACGTGGCTGGGTTTGATGCGAAGCACACAAGGCAGCAGCCTGCAGGTGGACGTTGAAGAGAGAGACTTGACCAGCACTGCCATGCTGCGCACACACGCGTGTATAGGGCAGCAGGAAGAGATCACCTGGTGGTGGGAGGATTGTGGGTGGTCATGTGGGGGAAAGGGGGTGGGGTGGGGGTTGGAAGGGTTTGGTTGGGTTCGAGAGCGCACCCTCCCCAGCACTGCCATGCCGCGCACACACGCGTGCAACGGGAGGCAAGAAACGATCACCTGGTGGTGGGTGTTGGGGATGGGCGTGGATGGGAGTGGCAAAAAGCGTGTGCAGGGCCAGGAGAGGAGGGACATTTGAGAAGCAACAGCAACAGTGGCGGCAGTAGCAGCATGAGCCGTAGCAGCATGAGCCGTAGGCCGTAGCAGCATGAGCCGTAGCAGCATGAGCCGTAGCAGCAACAACAGCACCTGCAACGGCAGAACTTGCCACGCTCCATCCATCCCACCCATCCCCACCCTCCCTTCCCCCCCAAACCCCCCTCCCCACCGCTCACTCGTGAGTCGAGGTGGAAACGTCTGGCCTTGGCAAGCCCAGAGAAGAAAGACCGGTCCCACGCATGCAGCACTGCTGAGTCTCCCCCACCGCCGCTGCTGCTGCCCCCGCCTCTGCTCGCACCCCTCCCTCCCCTGTGCTGTCGCTTCAGCGCCCCCAGCTGCTGCAGCTCCTGCCATACGAGAGACAAGACAGCGCCGACCAGGGTTGAGGGCAAATGCAAGCGTTTGATTTTTGAGTGCTTGAGTGCTTGAGACTCATAAGTCAACTCCCAGCTGCTGCAGCTCCTGCCATAAGAGAGACAGTGCCGACCACAGGTTTGAGGGAAAACACAAGTGCTTGAGAATACTGCCTTTCTTGTACCTTACTTCCTGCCTGCCTGCCGTAACTCATGGCTTGGAAGAGCGGCAGTACTAAGGAAAGCTTTTAGCAAGAAAAGAAAGAGAGTTACAAAACCCTTGCTACGAGAATTCTGAAAGCAAGAAAACACAAGTGCTTGAGAATATTGCCTTTCTTGTGCCTTACTTCCTGCCTGCCTGCCGTAACTCATGGCTTGGAAGAGCGGCAGTACTAAGGAAAGCTTTTAGCAAGAAAAGAAAGAGAGTTACAAAACCCTTGCTACGAGAATTCTAAAAGCAAGAAAACACAAGTGCTTGAGAATATTGCCTTTCTTGTGCCTTACTTCCTGCCTGCCTGCCTTACCTGTCCTGTCCCCTCACAAGCTCCCCTGAGCTGCTGAGCGCTCAGTTTGTGCAGAAAAGCCTCTTGTTTCATAACAGGAAGACGGTGACTTTTGAGTCGACTCAAAAGTCACCTGAGCTGCTGAGCGCTCAGTTTGTGCAGAAAAGCCTCTTGTTTCATAACAGGAAGACGGTGACTTCTGAGTCGACTCAAAAGTCACCTGAGCTGCTGAGCGCTCAGTTTGTGCAGAAAAGCCTCTTGTTTCATAACAGGAAGACGGTGACTTTTGAGTCGACTCAAAAGTCACCTGAGCTGCTGAGCGCTCAGTTTGTGCAGAAAAGCCTCTTGTTTCACAACAGGAAGAGGTACCGCTTCAACGTAAACATCTGATCTGGGGACATGAAATGATGTGATGTGATGTGATGTGATGTGATGTCATGTGATGTGATGTGATGTGATGTCACGTCATGTCATACTCCTTTCCGGTAGTGAGCTGTGCGTGCAGGTTGTGCAGAAAAAAATGTTTTGAGACGTCTCAAAACACTTCGTCAAACATGTGCAGGTGTGCAGAAAGAAGTGCTGCTTTTGAGGCGCCTCGAATGTACCAACAACACTGATGCAGCACTTGTAACTGGCACATGATACGGCACTTCACAGGCGCAGCACCGAAGCAGCAACTCCCCACCTGGAAGACCTTGGGAGGGAGTGAGCTGCGCTCCCAGGTTTTGAGACGTCTCAAATCCCTTCTTCAATCCAGTGAGCTGCGCTCCCAGGTTTTGAGACGTCTCAAATCCCTTCTTCAATCCAGTGAGCTGCGCGCCCAGGTTTTGAGACGTCTCAAATCCCTTCTTCAATCCAGTGAGCTGCGCGCCCAGGTTGTGCAGGAAGGAGTTGGACCGTGTGTCACACAACATTGACGCAGCACTTGTAACTGGACGGCTCACCATTCCTTTCCATGTCTGCGGCACCCCTCTGCTTGCTCGTGAACCCACCTGGAAGACCTTGGGTGTGAGCTGTGCTCCCAGGTTGTGCAGAAAGGAGTGCTGCTTTTGACCGGCACGCAGCACTTGTGACCGGCACATGGTGCTGTACCATACTTTTCACTGGCAGAAGAACCAACGCCACGCCATCCCACCTGGAAGACCTTGGGTGTGAGCTGTGCTCCCAGGTTGTGCAGAAAGGAGTCAACAGTGTCGGGTGTTCGGGCCATGAGAGGCGCATTGATGAGATGCGCGTATGAGGGGAAGCTCAGCTCCTGTATAGGAGGGGTTAGGAGAAAAGGGAGAGAAGTGGGGCCTTTTGAGTGAACAGGAGTGTGTTCTGGCCATGAGGGGCGCATTGATGAGGTGCGCGTATGAGGGGAAGCTCAGCTCCTGGCGATTTGAGGAGGGCAGAGACGAGTGGGAGGATAGGAAGGAGTGAAGGCCCTGTTGAGTCGACAGTGCCAACTCTTGAGGCGCCTCACAAAGTGTTCTGGCCAGAATGTGCACACGAGGGGAAGCTCATATCCTGGTGGACGGGAGGGGTGGGAGGGAGGAGTGGGAGGAGTGAAGGGGAGGGCGAGTGGGGGTCTAGGTAGGAGTTAGCGGACTCATAAGAATCAAAACAGGTGTGTCAGGTGTTTTTTGAGTCGACTCAAAAGTGTTCTGGTCATGCGTAGGCGCGTAGTGTTCTGGTTGATGACATTCGTTTATGATGGGAAGCTCAGCTCCCCAATGTAGGAGCTGAGGGGAGGGTAGGAGGGGAAGGTAGGAGGGGAGGGAGTGAAGTGAGGCCTTTTGAGTGAACAGGAGTGTGAGGGGTTCTGGCCCTGAAGGCCGCTTTGATATGAGATGCGAGTATGAGGGGAAAATCAGCTCCTAGTTGGAGGAGGAGAGGAGAGGGGAGTGAGCACCCTCAAAACGACAACTGGCTGTCTCGCCAAGGTGACTTCTACTGAGACTGGTGAATTTGGAGGGCGCACACGTTGGCGAGCTGGTGAGTTGTGTGCACACAGGCCAATGAGGCGGCTTTTGAGTCGACTCAAAAGCGAGTTGGTGAGTTGTGTGCACACAGGCCAATGAGGCGGCTTTTGAGTCGACTCAAAAGCGAGTTGGTGAGTTGTGTGCACACAGGCCAATGAGGCGGTCCAAGTTCCAACCAACTGGTGCAGGTTGGATCCAGAGTGAGTTTTCCGATTAAGGTCAAACGGGTTGGTGACAGGGCAGGGCGCACAGCTTGGTAAGCTGAGAGCGCAGGTCGATGAGGCGGTCCACCTGGTGCAGGTTGGACTGGGACTACCTTTCCCAATGAAGGTGACAACTGATAAACACTTGAGACTGGTGGGAGGGGGTACCTTGGCGAGCTGCGAGCGCAGGTCGATGAGGCGGTCCAGCTGGTGCAGGTTGGACCCTGGGGAGGCGTTGGCTAGTACGTACACCCGCCGACGCACCTGTGGGATGGGGTGTGGTGTGGTGAGATGGGATGGGATGGGATGGGATGGGATGGGATGGGACGGGACGGGATGGGACGGGATGGGATGGGATGGGATGGGATGGGACGGGACGGGACGGGACGGGATGGGATGGGATGGGATCGGATGGGATGGGACGGGATGGGATGGGATGGGATGGGATGGGATGGGATGGGACGGGACGGGACGGGACGGGATGGGATGGGATGGGATGGGATGGGACGGGACGGGATGGAATTGGATGGGATGGTTTGGGAAGTCACAACAGCCGCACGGCACACACAGACAGACCTCTTGTTCAGCATCACATCAACCCATTTGAGGCGGTTTAAAAAGCAGTGCGGCAAGGCACGCATGGCATGGCACGCCACGGCAAGAAGTGGCACGGCACAGGATGGCACACGGACGCAGCATATGTTTTTTTAGAATTCTCAAAAAAGCATACAGGATGGCACACGGACGCACATACCTCTTCGTCGTCCACCCATTTGAGCACGGATGATGTGACCAACGGGTCTGAGAACACCTTGTATCCTTGCTCCTTGGCCGCCCCACTACCACCGGAACTGCCACCGCTGCTGCTGCTGCCGTTTCTTCTGCTGCTGCTGCTGCTGCTGCTGCTGCTGCTGCTGGTGCCATTGCTCCCGGTTCCTACATTCTCCATGCCTTCTGTTCCCTCCCCGGCACTACTGTGGGGAGAATCAATGCTACTGCTGACCCTAGAGCTACTGCTGCCTGTACAGGGACCACCGTTGCTGGTGCTGCTGCTGTTGTGACTGCTGTCACTGCTGCTGCTGCCACTGCCACTGCCACTGCCACTGCTGCTTGTTCTACCCTTGCTTCGCTGGATGGGCTGTAGCATCGCATGCACGTTGGGAGGCAGCGCGTGCAGGGCACTGCGCGGAAAGACCTCTATGGAGGCCGAGTCAGAGTGGATGTTGGCGTTGAACCTGTGGGGGAGAGGACGAGAGGGAGTGGTGGAGAGGGGAGGGAAGAAGGGAAGTCAAAGACAGCAATACCCAGTAGAGACGATTTTTGAGGCGCCTCAAAAATCGTCTCATGACTTAGGGGGGGCTGCAAGGTCAAGGCTCAATAGTGAGTGAGTCGGAGCGGATGTGGAGGAGGAGCGGGGGAGGAGGAGGAGGAGCGGGGGAGGAGAAGGGGAGAAGGGAAGAAGGGAAGAAGAAAAGAAGGGAAGACAAAGGGAGCAATACGGGGGGCTGCAAGGACAAGGCCGAATAGTGAGTGATGAGTGAGTCGAAGCGGATGTGGAGGAGGAGGAGCGGGGGGGAAGAAGGGAAGGGAAGAAGGGAAGTCAATAGACAGCAGTACGCAACGCACGAAGGGAATGACAGTAGTGTAAGTAGCAGCAGGCACGGTAACAGAGAAGGTTTTTGAGGCGCCTCAAAAGCAGGCATGGTAGCAGAGAAGCAGGAATGATAATTTCTTGCTCTCGCTCTTGCTCCCTCTCGCTCACTCACTCTTCCACCCACTCTTGCTCTTCCTCTCACGCCCACTCACGTTCCCTTCTCTTTCTCACTCACTCTATTGAAGTGTGGGTAATCTCCCCTGTCAGTCGCTGCACCTCCTCCCTGCGGTCTGCACCCCCCCACACAATTACATACACAGCAATGGCGCATGGGGGAATGAGGGGACGCAAGATAAGAGGAGAAAATCATGAAGGGAAGCGTCAGTCAGTTAGAGGCAGAGTCGACTATAACCATACAGCTCTCCTTCACTGTGAAAATTCGGCGCCCCACCAAGTGTTTAAATAAAAAGTAAGTCCAGAAATAGCGGCTGAGCAAACCGGTGAGCCTCCCTCCCTCAGTACAGTACCTCATCCCTCTCCCTCTACTACCCTCACAACCCCCTTTGAGACGTCTCATCTCAAGAATACCTTCGACACATTCTCACCGTCAGGGAGGCGCACGCCCCCTCGTTCAAAGTCCAGCCGCAGCAGCTGAGCTAGCCGGTGGGCCTTCCTCAGTACAGCTAATCTGTCCCCCTCGCCCTGCTATCATAAACCCCCTCTTTTAGGCTTCTCTAAGAGTTCTTTTGACAAATCCTCTTCCTGAAAACGAGCTCACCAGCAGCGAGATGCACGCCTCCTCGTTCAAAGTCCAGCCGCAGCAGCTGTGCGACTCTGTGGGCCTCCCTCAGCGCCTCTCCCTAGTACCCCCCAACCCCTGCCCTACTGCCGTCACAGACAGCGCCCGTTTTGGGACGCCCCAAGAGTCCCTTTGACAAGAGTCCTCACCATCAGGGAGATGCACGCCTGCTCGTTCAAAGTCCAGCCGCAGCAGCTGAGCGACTCTATGAGCCTCCCTTAGCACCTCCTCCCTCTCCCCTCCCGCTCCTGCTGCTGCCCTCCCAGCCCCCTGCGGGCGAGAGTTGCGACCGGGCGGCGGGGAGGAGGCAGAGGCGGCGGGTGCGGGCGGCATGGCTTGGATGGCAGCGACTAGCAGACGGTAGAGCTGCTGGTTGGAGTTGAGGGCCTGGGAGGGGGGAGGGAGGAGAGAGAGGGTGAGGCAGAAATGAGGGGGGAGTGAGGAGAGGAGAGAGGGAGAGGGGTGCACCCTGTTGTAATTGTACACTATATACAACATTCATAGGCTAGAATAGGTGTAGTCCTTTAGGTTCTTGGGGGGTTGGGTGTACACTCCAACCACACTTTGTGGTTGGTCAAGATTGGATTTGGTCTTGGCCCTTGGTTGGCACTTGCCAACTTTTGGTCCTTAGACCAACCAATCCCAACCTAGCCACATTGTGAGGTTGCCTACTCCACAAGGCACCTCACCCATTGGCCAACTTATTGGCCAATAGGGTTAGCTCCTCCTACAACCTTCTCTTCCTTGCATGCTTGTATTATAGAGCCTTGTTGGCTCATTACTAATCATACTCTTGAATTCTATCATGGTATCCAGAGCCAAATGGCTCACGCCGTCCTCTCTCGATCCTTAGACTGTTTTTTACTCCCCGCTCCTCTACCCTAGCGGATTATGACATACATCCGCCCTCCCGCACCTCAGATCTAGCCTTCCGCGGCTCAGTACCGCCCTCCCGCACCTCAGATCTAGCTTTCCGCGGCTCAGATCTACTCCTCCGCGGCCTCAATTCTCCCTCCCACGGCCTCAATCCTCCCTCCCGCGGCCTCAATCCTCCCTCCCGCGGCCTCAATCCTCCCTCCCGCGGCCTCAATCCTCCCTCCCGCGGCCTCAATCCTTCCTCCCGCGACCCTAATCCTCCTTCCCGCGGCTCTGCCCGCCGTCGCGGACGACCGACGCGCCGTCGCGGACGACCTGCGCGCCGACGCGGACGGTCAGCGCGCTGTCGCCAGCGACCTGCGCGCCGACGCAGCCGGCCAGCGCGCAACCGCTGACGACCCGCGCGCTGACGCGGACGGCCAGCGCGTGACCGCCGACGACCCGCGCGCTGACGCGGACGGCCAGCGCGCAACCGCCCGAGCCGCGCGCTGACGCAGACGGCCAGCGCGCGACCGCCGACGAGCCGCGCGCTGACGCGGACGGCCAGCGCGCGGCCCCGAACGACCCGCGCGCCGACGCGGACGGCCAGCGCGCGGCCGCCGACGACCCTGCGCCGACGCGGACGGCTGGCGCGGAGCCCCGGCTGACCTGCGCGCCGTCGCGTTCGGCTGCCCGCGACCTCCACGACCCCGCAACCCTAATCCTCCCTCCTCCCCCTATCCTGCCCCACACCCGCGCCCCTCCCCACACTTCCGCACCAGCCTCTCTTCCCCCCCCCTACCTCCTCCCCCTACTCCACCCTTAACGGCAGCGGCAGCAGCGGCGGCAGCAGCAGCAGCATCGGCGCCGGCAGCAGCAGCAGCATCAAAAGCGGCAGCAGCAGCGTCACCAGTACCGGCAGCAGTGGCATCAGCAGCGGCGCCTTCACCACTCCGCCGTCATGGCGTCGTCGGACTCATCGGTCGATCTAGCGACCATTGACGCTCTCGAACTGCTGGGCGACAACTCGGCCGCCAACTGGCACTCCTATGCTCACTCCGTCGAGGTGTTGCTCTCCTCGGTCATCGTCAGCGGATATACCCTCCGCTCCGTCGTGTTCCAGGAGGAGGGTGGACTCCAGCCCATCGCTCCTTCCGCCCCCACTGGACCTGCTCCCGATGAGCCCGGACCCGAACCCGAGCCTCCTGGTGATCCCCCCTCCTTCGCGCCGGATGTTCACAACCCACAAAGCGTGGAGTCTGCCATTCGTGCCTATCGCACCTCACTCAACGACCACCTTCGCCGCCAACTGCGCTACGACGATGACAAGCGCATCTACGACAGTGCTGCTGCCCTCCACCGTGAATACCAAGCCCAGTTCACCACTTACACTACCCGCCTCACCACCTACACCACTGATATCGCAGCGTGGCGCGTTGCTGATCGTCGCGCCCTCGCTATCCTCCTCGCCACCATCCCCTCCTCCCTCAAACGAGAGCTCTCCCCCACCTCCTCCTCCCACCTGTGGCAACTGTTAGTCGACCTCTTTGACCGACAGGACATCGCCACTCTCTATGCACTCATTAAGGAATTCGGATCCATCACCATGGATTCCACCGCCGGCGCAGCTGCCTTTACTCGCCGAGTCCTTGACCTCGCTCGCCGCCTTGCAGCGCTCGGTGTTGTCTACCCTGACACCGTCATCTGCTGCCACCTTCTCGAGGGTCTCACCCCTGCCTTCGATGCCCATAAGCTGGCATACATGCAGCTCCTCTCCAAGCATGACACTCCCGCTCAAGTTGCGCAATGGATCATCACCACTGAAGCTGAAATCCTGCGCCACTCCTCCTCCACTGCCGCAGCAGCACAGCAGCGCAGCAGCAAAGGCGGGCGTGGGGGGGGGCGTGGAGGTGGGCGTGGTGGTGGTCGAGGCGGCTCTGGCGGTCGTGGTGGTGCGGGTCGTGGTGCAGCGGCGGCCTTCCCACCCTGTCAGTATCTTCCCCTCTATGGCCCCACCCGAGGCCAACGCTGCAATCAAACCACTCATGCGACTGAGACGTGCTTCAAGGCACTCAGCGATGAGTGGTTCGCTCGTGGGAACTCTGGCACCCCTCCTCGCTGGTCCGCCCTCAACCCCCGCCCCACTCCCCTGGATGTCCGCACCTCTCCCCTCTACGCCCCTTCCTCCTCCTCCCAGGCCCACCAGGCCTTTGCTCTCCCCTCTCACCAGCAGCAGCAGCAGCAGCAGCAGCAGCACCAGAGTGTCCAGCAGCAGGGGCCGCAGCAGTACGGGCAGCAGCTTCATCAGCTCCAGCAGCAGCTTCAGCAGCTCCAGCAGCAGCTTGACCTCCAGCCCCAGCTTCCTCTCCTCCCTCCTCCACCTGTCCCCCAGCAGCAGCCGTTTCCCAGCTGGACCGCCGGGAATGTGGCCTCCGCGGCCCACCTCTCCGGTCCATCCCCTGCGCCGTCTACAGGTGGCAGTGTGACCCCCTTTCCCTCCTCTGGCTTTGTTGGTCTGCTTAGTCAGCCTCCTTCCGTTGCATCCCCTATGTATGCCCCTGCTATTAATGAAACTTCCATTCAGTACTCCGCCTCACCCTCCTCCACCCTTGAGTTCGTCTTGGACAGTGGAGCCACTGACAATGTCTTTCGCGATGCCGGAAAACTCCATCCTCTCCCCACACCCACGTCCCTCCTTGGCGCTGATAGCAGCTTTTCCATCCCCTGTCACAACACGTCCACCCTTCCCTGTCCTCTCTTTCCCTCAGGTACTGTCACAGGTCTTCACATTCCCTCCCTTCGCACCAACCTCCTCTCCCAAAGGTCCCTCCAACAATCCATGATCACCACTGTCACCCCAGGTGGTGCTAACCATTGTGACCTTTACCAAACCTCCACAGGTCGCTTCCTCTCTCGCATTCCCTACTGTCCCCGCTCCCGTCTGTACACCCTTCGGGTTCCCCGCCCCCTCACCTTCCAAGTTGCCTCCCCTCCCCTCCTCCCCCCCCCTCCTCCCCTCCCTCCCACTAACCCACCCGTCCCCCCCCGCCCCCCTGACTCTGCCTGCACATGTCGCTCCCTCTCTCACCCTGCCATCCTTCTCCATCACAGGCTAGGCCACCCCAACTTCGCTACTCTGCGCTCCTCTGTCTCCTCAGGTCTCCTCCACGGTCTCCCCTCCTCCCTCCCTCCCCTACCCAAATCCCCTGCCCCCCCTTGCGCCGTCTGTGTTCAGAGCAAGCTCAAGCAGCAGCCGCACCGGAGCTCCCCCTCCGCTGCTGCCCAGCCACTTGACCTTGTTCACATGGACCTCTGGGGCCCTAATCCCTCTCCCACTCGCCAGGGCCATCGCTACCTTCTCGTGCTCGTTGATGATCACAGTCGGTACTCGTCCGTCTCTCTCCTTCGAACGAAGGCGGACGCCCCGCCTGCGATCATTGCCTGGCTCGAACAAGCGAACACCCATTTTGGGCGCCCTGTTCGCCGCCTTCACTCTGATGGTGGCGGTGAGTTCCTAAACAACCTAATCTCCTCCTATTGCCAATCCCGCGGCATTCTTCAGACTTACACCCTCCCACACTCCCCACAGCAGAACGGTGTCGCTGAGAGCCGTGTTCGGGAGATCACCAAAACCGCTCGGTGTCTTCTTGTCCACGCCTCATGCCCCCCTTCTCTGTGGGGCTATGCCCTCCTTCATGCCGCCCTCCTTACTAACCTTTACCCTCACCCCCTCCTCCCCTCCACCACCCCCACTGAGCTATGGACAAAGACCAAACCCGATGTCTCCCCTCTTCGAGTCTGGGGCTCAAAGGCATATGTCCTCATTCACCCGTCTGACCGATCCCGTTCCCTGGGAAAGCTTGCCCCTCGTACCCTTCCTTGCATTTTCCTTGGTCATAACCCCTCTTCCCCCGACTATCTTTTCCTCCACCCCCCTTCCGGTCGACTATTTCGCAGCAGAGATGTCGTCTTTGACGAATCCACCCCGTACTATTCCTCTCCTCCGTCCACTGACCCTCTCCCACCTCTGACTCGTCCCCTTGTCTGGTCTGACACCACCCCTCCCCCTCTCCTCCCTCCTCCCCCCATCCTCCCACCCCCTCCCCCTCCGCCCTCCCAGTCCCACGGTGTCCCCCCCTCGTCTGGTGACATCTTTGACCCGGACCCCCTGTCTTCCCCTGTCTCCCCCGCTCACTCCTCCCCTGGTGCCCCTCCTCCCCCTCCCTCCCAACCCTCACCTCCCTCCCCCACTCCCCGCGCCATACTCACCCGGTATCCTCACACCAGGTCACGTGACAGTATCCTTGGTGCACCGCCCCCTGTTACCCTCTCTACCTCTACCCTCCCTCCTCTTTCCCCCCTCCTTCACTACTTCTTCCAGGCTGTCTTGCATCCAGCCCCCTCAACCACCTCTCCAGCAGCAGCAGCAGCAGCTCCAGCAGCAGCCACCGCAGCGGCACCAGCAGCGGCACCAGCAGCGGCGAGTGCAGCGGCAGCAGCGGCATCGGCAGCGGCACCAGCAGCGGCATCCGCACCAGCACCAGCAGCGGCACCAGCAGCGGCACCAGCAGCGGCACCAGCAGCGGCACCAGCAGCGGCACCTGCGGTCATCCGCGCCTTCCACACCTCCCTCTCTGAGGACTCCCATGAGGAGTTCCTTGACCTCCACCTCTCTGACCCCTCCCTCCTTCCCATCACCTTTGACCTCTCTGGAACACCAGTCTTCGCCTTTTCCTCTGCTCCCTCCACCTTCATCCCAACCACGTATGAGGAGGCCATGGCTTGCCCCGACGCCCCGCTCTGGCTCGCCGCCATCATCAAGGAGCTCGAGGCATTTATTGCCAACTCCTCCTTCGTTGATGTGCCTCGCCCTCCCTCCTCTACGAACGTGGTAAAGGGGAAGTGGGTGTTTCGCGTCAAACAGCTACCAGGAGAGCCGCCCGTCTACAAGGCCCGGTATTGCGCCAAGGGCTTCACGCAGCGGTATGGCTTTGACTTCTTCGACACCTTCTCCCCCACCGCCAAACCTGCTACCGTTCGCGCCGTACTTGACCTCGCCGCTCGCCTCAACATGGAGATCCACTCAATGGATGTCTCCAACGCCTTCCTGCAAGGCGTGCTACGTGAACTGATCTACATGGAGCGCCCAGCGGGTTTCCACCTCCCCTTCCCCGCCGACTCCGTCTGGCAGCTGCGCCGACCAGTGTACGGGCTCCGCCAGGCACCCAGGGAATGGCATGCCAAGCTTGCTGCCACCCTTGCCGAGCTTGGGTTTCACACCTCCCGCTCTGACGCCAGCCTCTTCCTCCGCACCTCCCCCTCCCCCTTCTACATCCTCGTCTATGTTGACGATATGATTCTCCTCACCGCCGATCTTGCCGAGCTCGAGAAAGTCAAGACCGGGCTGGGCACACGGCTCAAGTGCAAAGATTTGGGAGAGCTGCAGCACTACCTCGGCATGACCATCACTCGCGACCGCTCCGCCCGCACCATCTCCCTCTCTCAGGGTCACTATCTCCAGCAAGTCTTGGACCGGTTTGAAATGGCGCGCGGCAGCCCCCAGCCCACTCCACTCTCAGTTGGGCACCACCTCTCCCCACCCTCCTCACCCTCTGCCTCCTCCCATCCTTATCCTGAACTCATCGGCTCTCTCATGTATGCCATGGTTTCCACTCGTCCTGACCTTGCCTACCCCATCAGCGTCCTCGCTCGCTTCGTTGGCGCTGGCAAGCACACAGAGGAACACTGGCAGGCCGCCAAGCGCGTCCTTCGCTACATTCGTGGCACAAAAGACTATGTCCTTACCCTTGGCGGCCCCTCCCATCCCCTCCTCAATGGCTACAGTGATTCTTCCTGGGCTGACTCTCGCCCGGACAGGCGGTCCTCTCAGGGATATGGCTTCTCTCTGGGTAGCGGTCTCATCAGCTGGCGGTCCACACGCTCCTCTGCCGTCGCCCTCTCCTCCTGCGAAGCAGAGCTCTACGCTGCAACCATGGCTGCGCAGGAGGCGCGCTGGCTCACCTTCCTCCTCGATGAGCTTGGTGCACCCCAGCGTTGTCCCACAATCTGGTGTGACAATGCCAGCACCATTCACCACACTAAGGATGCTGTGTATCATGGGCGTTCCAAACACATTGAACTTCGCTACTTCTTCATTCGTGATCTCGTTGAGGCCGGGCACCTTCGCCTTGGCAAGATCGACTCGGCGGCCAACCTCGCTGACATCTTCACTAAAGCTCTTCCCCAAGCACCTCACTCCTTCTTTCTGCGTCTCCTTGGCCTCACCCCTCCTCCAGTTGTGACGGCCTCTTGATTACATCTTCTAGCCTTATGCATGTTGGGGGGTTGTGTTGTAATTGTACACTATATACAACATTCATAGGCTAGAATAGGTGTAGTCCTTTAGGTTCTTGGGGGGTTGGGTGTACACTCCAACCACACTTTGTGGTTGGTCAAGATTGGATTTGGTCTTGGCCCTTGGTTGGCACTTGCCAACTTTTGGTCCTTAGACCAACCAATCCCAACCTAGCCACATTGTGAGGTTGCCTACTCCACAAGGCACCTCACCCATTGGCCAACTTATTGGCCAATAGGGTTAGCTCCTCCTACAACCTTCTCTTCCTTGCATGCTTGTATTATAGAGCCTTGTTGGCTCATTACTAATCATACTCTTGAATTCTATCACACCCGTTGCCTACTTTTTTTTCCACTTTACCCCCTCCTCCCTTCCCCTCCCTCGGCGTTGTCACAAGGACAAGGCGTCAAGGGGGGTATGGCATGGCACGGCATGACATGGGACGGTATGGTATGGCATAGTATGGCATGGCTGCATGCATAGCATGATAGTGCTAAGTCTCACAACTCACCTGAACATATGTTGACAGCTTCACAAACGCCTCATTGGCTGCGCCTACAAACTCCCTGCGCATAGTACCACTGTATGGCAGAGCATGGCATGGCTGCATGCAAAGCATGATAGTGTTGCTGTGCTGTGCAGTCTCACAACAACTGACCTGAACATATGCTGACAGCTTCACAAACGCCTCATTGGCTGCGTCTACAAACTCCCTGCGCACAGTCGCAGAACCACCACCATTGTCATCATCATCACCAAAACAAGTGATACATAGTAAAACAATGTGTTTATTAAAAAAAACAAGTCATACATATCATAAAAAAGAAATTCAGAATTATCACAATCATCACCTGGGTTTACATACTTGAGAGAGAGTTTTAGAGTTTAGGGTTTAGGGCATGTGCATGAGCCAGGGCATGGGCATGGGAATGAGCATGAGCATGAGCGTGTGTGTGCCGTGCCGTGCTTACCTGTTAGGGTGCACGTTCCGGCAGAGCTCTGCTGCATCCAGGACTCGACACAGCTGCACGGTGGGGATTCAGGAGGGGTGGAGAGGGTTCAGCGGGGTGAGAGGGAGATGTGAAGGTGCCGTGACAGAGCTCTGCTGCATCCAGGACTCGACACAGCTGCACAGACGAGAGTCAAAAGCCAAGGGGTCGGATCGGAGGTAGGGTAGGGTTAAGCGCGATGTGGGGGGGTTGTGAGGCGCCTTGATAGAGCTCTGCTGCATCCAGGACTCGACACAGCTGCACAGACGAGAGTCAAAAGCCAAGGGGTCGGATCGGAGGTAGGGTAGGGTTAAGCGCGATGTGGGGGGGTTGTGAGGCGCCTTGATAGAGCTCTGCTGCATCCAGGACTCGACACAGCTGCACAGACGAGAGTCAAAAGCCAAGGGGTCGGATCGGAGGTAGGGTAGGGTTAAGCGCGATGTGGGGGGGTTGTGAGGCGCCTTGATAGAGCTCTGCTGCATCCAGGACTCGACACAGCTGCACAGACGAGAGTCAAAAGCCAAGGGGTCGGATCGGAGGTAGGGTAGGGTTAAGCGCGATGTGGGGGGGTTGTGAGGCGCCTTGATAGAGCTCTGCTGCATCCAGGACTCGACACAGCTGCACAGACGAGAGTCAAAAGCCAAGGGGTCGGATCGGAGGTAGGGTAGGGTTAAGCGCGATGTGGGGGGGTTGTGAGGCGCCTTGATAGAGCTCTGCTGCATCCAGGACTCGACACAGCTGCACAGACGAGAGTCAAAAGCCAAGGGGTCGGATCGGAGGTAGGGTAGGGTTAAGCGCGATGTGGGGGGGTTGTGAGGCGCCTTGATAGAGCTCTGCTGCATCCAGGACTCGACACAGCTGCACAGACGAGAGTCAAAAGCCAAGGGGTCGGATCGGAGGTAGGGTAGGGTTAAGCGCGATGTGGGGGGGTTGTGAGGCGCCTTGATAGAGCTCTGCTGCATCCAGGACTCGACACAGCTGCACAGACGAGAGTCAAAAGCCAAGGGGTCGAATCGGAGGTAGGGTAGGGTTAAGCGCGATGTGGGGGGGTTGTGAGGCGCCTTGATAGAGCTCTGCTGCATCCAGGACTCGACACAGCTGCACAGACGAGAGTCAAAAGCCAAGGGGTCGGATCGGAGGTAGGGTAGGGTTAAGCGCGATGTGGGGGGGTTGTGAGGCGCCTTGATAGAGCTCTGCTGCATCCAGGACTCGACACAGCTGCGCCGTTGGGATTCAGGAGGGTGGGGGGGTGGTTCAGCCGCGTGTGGGGGAGTTCTGAGGCGCCTTCATAGATCTTTGCTGCATCCAGGACTCGACACAGCTGCGTCGTTAGAAATTTGGGAGGCTGGACTGGACGGGTGGGAGGGGGTGTGGTGTGGGTGGTGCGGGGGGAAGCGGAGGTGCGCACAGCACACTCACATCACATGTGCGTAGCCTATCACTCAAACCAGAAGCACCCACAGGAGTGAAGGCAGGTACAGCAAAGGTACCCTGCAATGCACATTCGCACCCATTCACGTACAGTGTCGCTCATCTCGTCCAGCAGAGCAGACACACACACGGTGCGCAGAGGGGGAGGCAGAAGGAGGAAAAGCAGGGTCTCATACCCTGGTGCCATGCAATGCTCATTCATTCACGTACAGTGTCGCTCATCTCGTCCAGCAGGCATACGGTGCGCAGAGATGGGGGTGCTGCTGCTACCTCCTGCAGTAGAGCCTCCGTCCTGCCCCGCGCACCGTGCAGCACCATACAGCACCGCACATGCGACGAGGGGGGGAAGAAGAGGGGGATAGAGGAAAGGGGGGGGGGATGAGGGGGGGAAGAACAAGACAAGGTAACTTACCAATCGACTCAAATCGAGGTGACTCGTGAGTCGACTCAAAAGCCCTTAACCCATCCCACAGTTAAGGCGCTCAGAAAAGAATCCCAAACCTTCGAAGCAGGGCATTCTTTCGCAAGACAAGGTGACTGACTTCCTTCCAAGTCGGCGCACAAGTCGACTCAAAAGTCGACTCAGACGAGGAATAATACTCACCTAGCAATGGCGTTGGCGGCCATGCGATGGAAACCCTTCGGCTCGCTCAGCTCCTCGTGACCAAACAGCCCCGTCTTTTGAGACGTCACAACAATCTCCTACTTTCAAGCGGTTTTGAGGGACGTCAAACAAAGAATCCCCACCCACCTAGCGATGGCGTTGGCGGCCATGCGATGGAAGCCCTTCGGCTCGCTCAGCTCCTCGTAACCAAACAGCCCCGTCGTCGCCCGCACCCGCCGCACCTCCACTCCCGCCATCGCCGCCGCACCTCCCACCGCACTCCCCGCCGCATTTCCTGCGGCGGCGCTCCCGGCCAGGCCGTTATTAGATCTATAGAAGCGTCTCGTCTGCCCTTGAGCGGCAACAGGTAAGCAAGGGACCACTCCTGCCCTCCCGTATCCTCTTCGTACCGATCCTCCCGCCACAGATCTCAGCCCCCTTGCCGAGCCTGCTGCCCAACCAGATGGCAAGCTTTGTCCCCAACCTGTTGCCGAGTCTGTTCCAGGCCCGGACCCGAAGTCCGCGTCCGAACCAACTGTCAAACGTGCACCGGGTCCAGCTCTAGCTTCCTCTCGCACATCTCTCCTCGAACCAGCTCCTAGGCCAGACCCTGATCCAACTCCCGTCGCCTGTTCCGAGCCTTCTCGCCGAGGCTGAATCGCAGGCTCGGCATGATTCGACGCAACAACGAGCTTTCGCAGAGGAACGGAACCTCCGCCACAGGCGCGCTGGTAATTGCGGCGAGAAGCGGCGGCGATCGCGTGCGAAACGAGCGACGAAATGGGCTTTCGTCGATGCATGACTACCAAACAGCACCGCGTCGCCTTCCTTCACGATCGGCAACTGTCGGACAGACAGACAATCGCCGTGAATCACGCGGATCACTCAAATCACGCCGATCAAGCCAAGCACTCAAGCCACTCGGATCATTCAGATCACGCGAGTAACTCGAATCACTCGAATCTCCCAAACACTCGCATCAATCACGCACAACCGTCGGGTAATGACTGAGACCATATGTGCACACTACCTGAGAGCTTCGCACTGGGCTAGACCTGTACTACACTGCATGTATAATAGCAAGAGGCAGGTTCATTCGCTCGTGCATTCCCAGAGAGTGGTCTAGAGTGGATGGCGGGCGGTGCTTTCGACTTGCACGAGCACCTCTCGCAGTGGTGAACGGAGCTCGTTTCTGGTGCAACGAGTAGCCGGGTTAGGCATGGTTGATTCTGGTGCTCAATGGTCTAAAGCGGTGAAGGATTAAAACCCAGTCAAGGGCGTGGAACATCCTGGGCGAACGGCGTGTGTTACACATCTGGTGAGAGGTTGTACACAGTAAATGTGTGTCTCATTTGTTTTCAATCAGTGTGTGTACGGTGCAAAGGGGTAGAATCCGCCCATAAAGTAATGTGATTTTGGATAGGATTCATTGGCACGTTGACGAAAGCACACGCTGACAAATGAGAAACAATAAATTATATTTCAGTTCCCCACATCGTACAGATTTTAAAATAAGTGCCCTAATAAGTGAACTATTACGTTGTTATTAATTTTCGTGCGCACGCAGCCATCGCTGAGGGAGTAGCCGTGATGCGAGGGTCGCGCGAGGCTGTGGAACGGAAGACATTTCTCCTGCAGCAACAGAGGCGCTCAGATCCTCCACTGCTCGAGACTGGGAGAAATTGCCATCACTTCTGCCAGTCACAGAGCTTCCAAATACACCAATAGCCATGGCAGCAAGCCGTGCCTCTTCACGAAACGACAGACGCTGACCAGAATAGGTGCAAAGCCATGGATCTGCCAATACTTCGTCAATCGTCGGCCGTCGATTTGCGTCCGCGGACAGCATCCGGCCGATGAGATTCTTCGCCCGGTGGGAGACGGAGATCCAACAAGACATTTCCCACTCCCTGGACGAATGTCGACCGTTGATCACCGTGGGCCAGCGGCAGGAGAGGATCGCGAAAAGCGTCGCGCCAAGACTCCACACGTCGGCCGGAAACGAATAATTCTTTCCCGCCAAAACCTCGGGTGCGGCATACGGAAGACTCCCCACGAAACCCTGAGTGCGTTGCCACGGCTTGACGACCAAGGAACTCCCGAAATCCGCGAGCTTAGCAACGATATCTGTTTCCCGCGCATCTGCTTGGGGCACAACAAACCGGTCCTGGCCAGGTCGCCTCGGCGAAGGGGGAACGTTCGGAGAAAGCGGGCCGGTCGGAGAGGCACGGCTGTTTGGCTCAGAGAAGTCGTCTTGGTTCAGGTCAATCGTCGCATATGTTTGGGATGACCGACAGGATGTATTGGACGAGAACGAGTGAGGGTTGGAACGTGGATTCGGAGTTTCTTGTAGCGAGGATGCAGCGGGATCGTCCGACGCGCGCGAGAAGAGAAGCACGTTGTCTGGTTTGATATCGCGGTGCATGACGCTGCGATCGTGGCACTCCTTCACTCCTTGCGCCAAATCTCTGAACAGCCGTCGCGCTTCCCACTCGGGCAAAGCGCCGTTCGCGTGCACAAGCCCCTGCAGATCCCCGTTTGTAGCGAAATCCAAGATTATGTACAGGGTGTTTGCCTTAGGGTTACGGAAGACGGCGTGAAAGGAGACGACGTGCTGGCATCCGTCCATGATCGTTAGAGCGCGGATCTCGTTGGCTGCGGCTCGCAGCGCGTCCGGCTGTCCCGCAACGCGCTTGCACGCGAATTCTTTCCCCGTTGCGCGATGAGTGCATCGCGTAATCCTCCCAAACCTCCCGGTTCCGAGCTCTTCGTGCATCTTATACTCGGAAACGAACTCCTCAACCGGGCGAAAGGTTGTCATGGTGAGAGACTTGGACAATTGGTATGGATCGACGAGTGGAATTGGCGGTCTTGGATGAATAAGCTCGCTGGTGGTCGATCAGGATGGCACGAAAACGAAGAGCGGGAAAAGAATGGTCGAGTGTGACGGAGAGGAAGTAAAAGAGTCATGGATCGACTGGCTTGGCGTGCTCGTGTGGCTTCGGGCGTCCAAAATCACAAATGGAATCTCTCACGAAGCTAGCATGCGTGTGAGAGGGATGTTCACAGGCTCAAGAATACTCTCTTTTCTGTTATGGCTGCACACAAAATCCTGTAGGGAAAAGAAAATGCAAGACCAGAGAAGAGGAGAATGGGGGGAGGCGGGCTGGTGGAGTCGATTTCAAGTTCGATCACCAAGAAGCGTTGACCAGCTCGTTGACTCAGTCAACGCGGCTCACTCATTTTGAAACGCGTATCGGTGTGGTACCAGCAAGTCTTTTGGCGCCCTGTGTCGGCCTTGTGTACGTTGCAGATCCCTCCGACCACCTGATTGCGCCAAAAAGACGTGGCATCACACGAATGGCGCTCCCGATGTGGTATTCGCGCAGTCGACATCGGCAGCAGAGATGCCCAACCGACGGGCGCGTCATTCCCTGCCACATCATGCCGTCAGCATCACTGCCTAGGTAACCTGATGAAGAGAAACTAAACTAAAACAAGAGGCGACGAAATCGTCTTAGGGTTGCGAAGCAACATTACACTGTTATTTTTAGATACATCTGATCTATAGTGAGAATTATATAATATCGTAACATGACTTTGATATTTGCTGAATCATTGCTATTCATAGATACATGTTTCATATAATATGGGAGTATACAAATGAAAGGGTGTACATAACAGATGGGTGTGGTTGTTTAGGGTAAGTTATTCTTGTTGTGTTCATATGATTTGGTTTTAGGGTGACTGAAAATCTGAAACAAAAAAAGCTACAGAAAGGAAAAGCTTTAGCTTACCGAAACAATGTTCATGACCTGACTCGAACTCCCGACCTTCGCGATGAAACGCGGCTTCGACAGAGCTGTGCTATACAATCCGTATTTTTGGTGGCGTATAACTATATCGACCTAAAATGCAATAAAAACGTCCCATTCTAGGGTTTCGTCATATGTCTTTTTGCTCCGTTTCTCTTCCACCTAGTCAGACTACTCTAGCTTCTCCCCGTCCCTCACGCCACTCACGCCACTCACACCACTCAGACTATAACTCCTAGTTAAGGTAAGCCTCATTCTCTCTATTCTTAAGTTCATTCTAGTTGAGAGTGGGTTCTAGTTTAGCTCATTTGGTTGAGAGTTGTTTTTTTTTAAACGAGAACTAGACGTATTTTGTTTCATAACCTCGCTTTCTTCCTACGTTATGCACCGTACTTTTGTTCTCTCCTTCCCTCTCCTTCTCTCCACTTCTTCCCATCTTCTTCTCTCCTTTATTTCGATTTACATTCTACTTGCTTGCTCTTTTCAGCTCTTGCTCTTACTTTTGTCTTCTTCCGTACGCTGTTTCTTGATTTATTCCTCTTCCTTAATTGAAATTTGACATGATTATTAACAATTATATTCAGAGAGTTAAATTATTAGGTTGGAGCATTCTCTTTCTCGTTCTCTTTCTCGTTCTCTCGTTGTCTAGTTCTTTCTCGTTCTCTCGTTCGTTCTCCCTCGTTCTTTCTCTCCCGTTTTCTCTCTCTCTCTCGCGTTCTCTCTCTCTCTCTCTCTTGTTCTCTCTTTCTCTCGTTCTCTCGTTCTCCCTCGTTTTCTCGTTCTCTCTCTCTTCTCTCTCTCTCTCTCTCTCTCTCTCTCTCTCTCTCTCTCTCTCTCTCTCTCTCTCTCTCTCTCTCTCTCTCTCTCTCTCTCTCTCTCTCGTTATTTCACTCTCGTACTCTCGCTCTCGCTCTCGATCGTTCACCCTCGTTCTCTCTCGCTCGTTCCCTCTCTCGTTCTCTCCCTCTCGTTTCTCGTTTTCTCTCTATCGTTCTCTCTCTCTCGTTCTCTCTCGTTTTCTTTCTCTCTCGATCTCTCTCTCTCTCGTTCTCCCTCTCTCGTCCTCTCTCTCTCGATCTCTCTCTCGTTCTCTCTCTCGTTCTCTCTCTCTCGTTCTCTCTCTCGTTCTCTCTCTTGTTCTCTCTCTCTCTTGTTCTCTCTCTCTCTCGTTCTCTTTCTCTCTCGTTTTCTCATTCTTGTTCTCTCGTTCTCTCTCTCTTGTGAAGAAAATGAGGAATTGAAGAAGAGAGAGGGGTTGCACTAGCAGCAGTTGGCATACATATAGGAAACCCTAATTGGGTTGTACTCGCTATAGAGTACCCCACTGCAGGCTAGACAATTATAACATTCTGACA